GAAGCAGGAAGCTCCCTCCGCAGTTCTTCCCAGACCACCGAAGAAGCAAGATGTGAGCTGCCCCACTGAGAAAGGTACCGAGCCATGTGACTAACATAGATAAGAATAATGGGTTAATATAAGCTACAAGAGCTAATAAGTAGCCTTAGCTAATGGGCCAATCAGTTTTGTCTTACAGTTTCTCATCCGGAGAAGCCAAGGCAGGAACTCAAGGTAGGAGCCTAGAAGCAGGAATGAAGTAGAGGCCATGAAAGAGTGTTGCTGGGGGCTGGAAAGATGGCTCAGGGGTTAAAAGCATTGCCTGCTCTTCCAAAGGTTCTGAGTTCAATTCCCAGCAACCACATGGTGGCTCACAACCATCTATAATGAGGTCTGGTGCCCTCTTCTGGCCTTCAGGCATACACGCAGACAGAATATTGTATACATAATAAATTAATAATTAATCAATTTTTTTAAAAAAAAGTGCTGCTTACTGGCCTGCTCTTGTGGCTTGTTCAGTTTGCTTTCTTATACATCCCAGTACCACCTTTCCAGGTGTGATACAACCCACAGTGGGCTGGGCCCTCCCACATCAATCATTAATCAAGAAAATGTCGCTGCAAACTTGCCTATAGGCTAATCTGATGGAGGGATTTCTCAACTGAGGTTCACTCTTTCCTGATAACTCAGGTTTATGCCAAGTTGACAGAAACCCAAGCAGGACACCTTATAAGACAATGCCCACAGAAGGCAGAGGCAAGTGGATCTCTGTGAGTTCAAGGCCAGCCTGGTCTGCGGAGAGTTCCAGGAGAGCTAGGGCTATACAGAGAAACCTTGTCTTGAAAAATAACAACAAAAAAGTCATCCTCTGACCTCCACATGTGCGTCATAGCATATGCATACACAGTAATAACAATAAAATTATTGTTAATTTTATTGCAATAAATTTATTGCATTTTAAATCATCGTCATTCAGTGTAAATACATAGTAGGCACTAACTACTTTGGTGCAGAGATAGAACAGTGTGCAGATCAGAAAGAGTCCCAATATTTTAAGGAACAAACATTAAATATAAATTTGCTCAGCACTCTACAATTAGAATGATGCTTTTTTAAAGATTTATTTATTATAATATATATAGTGTTCTGCCTGCATGTCTGCCTACACGCCCGAAGAAGGCACCAGACCTCATTACAAATGGTTGTGAGCTACCAGGGCAGCCTTTGCTCTTAGCTGCTGAGCCATCTCTCCAGCCACCATGATACTTTTAAGTCACCGGACAGGTGCCTAGAGTCAGGGAAGCCTCCCCAAGAAAATGAATTTTTAAGATGAAGTCTCTTGAATATTAATCAGGAGAAAGGCATTCAAGAGATATTTGCTGGATGAAGCACTGTAGGGAGAAGGGAGGCTTATGCAGAAATTACAAAGCACAAGGGACTTTACCACATCTGTGAAATGCGAACAGGCCAGGAGAGACGAGGCTAGAGACAGATGGTATGGCCACCGCCATCCATAGCAAAGAGTCACTCCCCACATCGTTTCTGCCGAGTTGGCAGGAAGCACAGGGCCTGATGCCAGGGCTCTGCTCAGCTTCTCGGAATTCTCTAAGTGTAAAAAGATGTAGGTGGAAAAGCTGAAGACACAGGCAAGAAGGAAAGGCCCATTATGAAAGAGGAATGAGAATCAAGATTCCTCCTCAAGAGGAAACAAAATCAAAGTTCATGCCAGAACTCAGAAGGCCAAGGCAACGTGAGTTCAATGACTGCCCAGGCCATGTGACAAGCACCACTAGGGTTACAAAGCAAGTTTTCATCTCAAACACAGCTACAGAGGTGATTCTCAACCTTCCTAACGCTGTGACCCTTTAATATAGTCCCTCATGTTGTGGTGACCCCAACCATAAAATTATTTTCGTTGCTCTTCACAGCTGTGATTTTGCTACTATTATAGTTCTAATATGGGCTGAAGAGATGGCTCAGTGGTTAAGAGCACAGCCTACTCTTCCAAAGGTCCTGAGTTCAATTCCCAGCAACCACATGGTGGTTCACAACCACCTGAAATGAGTGAGATCTGGTGCCTTCTTCTGGTCTGCAGGCCAGGCAGACCATGTATACTTAATAAATAAATCTTAAAAGAAAAAAAAAGTTCTAGTGTAAGTACCTGCTATGCAGGCGGTCCTAGACAACCCCTGTGAAAGGGTCATTCACAACCCACAGGTTGAGAACCACTGAGCTACAGGCTCCTCGATCCACCCAAAGGAGCTTATAATGGTTAATTTTGCTGTTTTAATTACTTTCTAAGTTTTATGAGTATAGGTGTTTCGCCTGTATGCATATCTGGGCACGGTGTGCATGCCTGGTGCTTTCAGAAGTCAGAAGAGGGCATTGAACCCCCAGAACTGAAGCTACAGTCAGTTGTAAGTTGCCTTGAACGTGCTGAGAAGTGAACCTGAATCCCCTTGAAAAGCAGCTAAGTGCTCTTAACCGCTGAGCCATCTCTCCAGCACCCTTGACTGTCAACTTAACTGTCAAGAGATCAGTAGTGTCTCTATGGGGTATCACTTGAGGACATTTCCAGAAACAATTAAGTCAGGAAGGTTCTGACCAAATGATGGAGTCACGGTGTTATGACATAACTGGAAGATGGGAGGCGGAACCTACCCAAAGAAGTTAGGTCCCTGGGGTGTGTCCTTGGAGCTATATCTAGTCCCTTTCTGCTGGTTCCTGGACACCATGGTGTGCGCTGCTCTGATTCTCCACACCTCTGCCGTGATAAGCCAATGTCTCTAGACTGTGAGTCAACACAAATCGTTCCTGCCTTGGTTGCTTCGCTCAGCTGTTTTGCCGCAGTAGTTACAATAGAGGCTCCTTCCCTTTGTCTTCATCTTGACTATCGACCCAGAATCAAGGGAAATCATCCCAACCTACCATCATCAGCTGTATTCCAAAGAAACTGGGGAGATGCAGATGAACATTGCTGCAGAGGACAAACAGCTTTGTTAGCAGAAACTCATAAATGCTGGGAAAACAGAGAAAATACACGGCAATACAAAGAGCTGAAGGAAGGCCAAAGGCAGCTACAAAAGGGCGCTATCAAGGCTGGAAAAGGAGAAAATGACTACGAGGAAGATGAGGATGAGAGTCAAGAAGGATGAAAAGGGAGAGAATAATGAAGATGATTTTGATAGTTTTTCTTTGTCTATAAAACATTTAACCCTTGGACTAGAGAAATAGCTCAGAGGTTAAGAGCACTGACTGCTCTTCTATCTCTAGTCCCGAGTTCAAGTCCCACCAACCACATGGTGGCTCACAACATCTATACTGGGATCTGGTGCTCTCTTCTGGGCTGTAGACATACTGGAAGACAGAGCAATCACATACATAAAAAAAAATGAAAAATAAAAATAAATAATAAAAATAAATAATAATTTAAAAAAAACCTTTAGCCCACTTGTGCTAACCTTTTTTGTTTGTTTGTGGACAGGGTCTCTCTGTGTGCAGCTCTGGCTGTCCTGGAACTCACTATGTAGAGTAGGTTTACCTTGAACTTCCAGAGATCCACCAGTCCCTTTGTCCTGGGTACTGGAATTAGTGTGTGCACCACACCCAGCTTGCAAGCTAACTTTATTTTTCAAGACAGGGTTTCTCTGTAAAGCCTTGGCTGTCCTGGAACTTGATCTGTAGACCAGGCTAGACCAGGCTAAACTAGGCTGGCTTCCAACCTAGAGATCCATCTGCCTCTGCCTCCCATGTGCTAGTTAAAGGCTCAAGTTAACTTTTTTTTAAAAAAGGTTTAGTTTTATGAGTATTTTGGCTGCATATGCACCTGTGCACCCTGGGCATGCCCAGTGTCCTTGGAGACTAGAAGACGGTGTTGGATGCCTGCAAACTGGAATTACATAGCAAGCGGCCATTTGGATGCTGGGAATCAAACCTGGATCCTCTGGAAGAGAAGTCTTTGCTCTTAACTGTTCTAGTCTCAACAAACTAAGTTATTTTAAAAAGAAAAAAAAAAGCCAGATGTAGTGACACACACCTTTCATGCCAGTACTAGAGAGGCAGAGGCAGGAGGATCTCTGATTTTGAAGCCAACCTGGACTACATCAGGAGTTCCAGGCCAAACAGGGCTACATGTTGAAAAAAAGGAGGGAAAGAATTCCTAGACTGTAGGGTTTATTTGTATAGTTGTATAGGTGTGTGGATCTTTTCTTGCACAGCAAGAATCAAATAGTGCTTAGAGTTGCTCTGGTGATATTCCAGTTACTGGCCTTGCTAATAAAGAGGTTATAAATTACACAGAGCATTATTAAAGCACTCTTGTGTGTGCACAGTAAGAAAGATCAGCATATGGACAGCACTCTTACTGTCTCCGAGGTAGTTGAAGTAATCAATCAATTGAATTGAAAGCCTTGCAGCTACTCTGCTGACATTCTGGGTGCTTCTAAACATAATTTGTATCACACCAAAACAGGCTTTTGAAAGGGTTTGTGCTGGACAGTTGTGACGGCAGCACTCTGGTGGAAGGCAGATGTAAGCAAACCTCTGAGTTCAAAACCACCTTGGTCTAGACTGAATTCCAGGACAGGGCTACACAGAGAAACCCTGTCAGAAAGACTTGTGACCAAAGTGTTTCTCTGCAGTCTGTTGTTGAACTACTTACCTTCCCTGAGTAGGTTTTCAGGTCTCTACTGGGCTGTTAGGAGTGATGCCCACTCCTTTACAGTACATCATTTAGCTTAGCTTCTGTTCCTTTAGCCTCCCACTCTGCCTTCTTTCCATCTTCCCCTTACTTTCACTTCTATCTCATTTCTGCTACGTTTCCTGGCTTCCCAACCTTAGAAGTTGGCTGGAACAGAGCACTAATAGCTGAGCGCAGTCTCTCTAGCTCCCTCTTGTGGTCGGTATTAGTCAATGCAGTCATGCTGCATTCCTGGGAGTGGGGAAAATGAAAGGACTGGATGAGACATGAATCTCGGGTAGGACACCAATGACACACCAGAGAAATTATTCCACCCAAGTAGTTCAGTAAACTGTTGAGTTTATTGGTTTGCTTACAGGAGCATGGTACATCACTGAAAAAGCTCACCCCAACACTGTGACAACTCAGATGAGGCATCACTGGAGCTGGTTTACAGAGTTTGCTTAGTCTCCTCTCCCCACAAAGTAATTACTGCTTATATATCTTTGGGAAGACTTAAGAACCTTGTAGGCTTCAGGAACTTGCTGAGATCTATACATAAGTTTCATTGACTTCCTGATTCCTTGGGCAGCTAAGAGGATACTAATAAAGGAACGTTAGTGAAGTCCAATACAGCACAAAAGGACTCAGCAATGTTGGCTACAGCAGCATGAATAGGCGCCGCTATCCCACCTAGCCCTCCTCAATCTCACTTCCCACGAGCTATCCAACCTCGTCATCCTGCAGCGCTATTGTGGGGCCTGTCTCCCCAGCACTGATGGTCTTGGTGGGGTGGGTTACAACTTGGCCTGGCTCAGGTTCAGTAGATGCACACAGGCCTTTCATCACTGCTGTTTGGACCAGCTCCCTTCTGACAGTCTCTGGTCCAGTACTATGGACTTTCCATTGGCCAAACCTGATGTGGCTGTTTGAATGAAAAATGTCCACCAGTCTCTGGCATTTGGACACTTGATGGCAACTTTTGGAGTCTTAGGTGCTGCAGACTTGCTGCAGAAAGTTGGGCTTTGAGATTAAAAGCCTTGTACCGCTTCCAGTTTGCTGTTTCATCTTGTAGTCAAGGCTATGAGCTCTCAGCTTCCTGATCCCGTCATGCCATGGCCTCTTATCCCTTCTGGAACCATAAACCTTAGTCAGAAGCAACAAGAAAGTAACTGAAATACTTGAAAGCAAGCTGGGCTGGCCAAATGACCTTCACCTCAGTATACCTTCATGCAGGGAGAAATGTACAGTTTAATTACTTATGTTTTCTATGAACTGTTATTCAGGCTTCAGAAGCTTTTGTCAAACGTTCCCCTAAAACCACCATTATCGCCCCCTTTGTTGACCATTCTTTCATCTCCTCTGTGGGGTTTCAACCAAGACCCTAAAAGCACTACACAGTCTTGACCCCACTACTGAACACAATTCTATCTGTCCCAATTAGCTAGGTACCAAGTGCCACTTCTCTCATGCTGTTTCTCCAGTAATGCCTGTCTGGGGATAGAAATATTATGTACCTTTCCCATCAGACAGCATTGCAGTCCCAGAAAATAATATAGACACTCTGAAACACTAAACAAAACAAAACAAAAAAACCCCACAAATTCAATTCACACTACTTTACATTTCCATAACATTTTACCATTTAATAGAAACTATATACAATAATTTTACTATAATTTACATGGGGGAATCCACCAGACATTTACATAAGTTAAAAGCAAGGATAATTAAGAAGAGCCCAGATCTGTGAGGTGAGCTGCTTTTCAGTCACTAGGAAAGGGGGTTTCTACTGCCCAGCTATGAGGAAAGGGTTGATCACAGGCCTTTAGATACAGACAGACAGACACGAACGGCCAGCACCTCAGGAGCGCCATTCCTGATCGCAGCCCCTGCCTAGATGGATTTCATCCATGGCTTAGGAAATCATATTGCCAAAATGTCTCTTTCCCAGGCATAGTCTCCAATATTCATTCCATCCCAAGGCAGGGACTACCACACTCTTTTCCTTGCAAAAAATCCTGTAACTTTTAAATACTAAAGATAGATCCGTTCCTCACAAATTTGGTTTATGTTTGATTTTAGCACTGTATAAGCCCGAAGAAACACCATGTAGTCTGGGTTGCCCCTGTTTAGTGAGAGATGACCAGAGATAAACTGTTTCAAGAATGAGAAGTTCAGATCCACCAAAGTCAAGCAATTCTCAGAATGAACTATCAACTGATAGAAGTGGGCTCTGGTTTTCCATTTGCAGTAGCCAATCCACGCTGAGGGAATGCTGCACAGGCTTTCTCTAAATTTCGAGGTCCCTGGGATCTGGACCCATCTCCAGACACCTGCATCTGGCCCTATTAAAATAGAAGTTCTTTGGTTAGAGACTCATCCAATGGTTCTGAAACATAACCCTGATTTATCAATGCCCATTTACAGGAGCTACAAGAAAAGGAGAAGTAACAACGTGGTTGCTCTCCCCAACACTTTGATGTCCCTGAGAATCAGAAGTCTGTACTGAAGCTGTCAAAGGAGAGAACAGAGGGTTGTTTCTTCCTAAGGAGAAAGTCATTCTCTACTGAGGTTCCAGAAGAGCTGATAACTCACAGGAAGACAGTTCTTTAGGCCTCTGCTTGAAACCAACAGCTACAGTATAACTGCTAGTCTTCAGTTAGAGCCATTAGCAACCTCCCTCAGCCTATTCTTAAGAACAATTAGAATGATGAACTCTGCCTTACAAGGGACAATTTACCCACCATCCTCCACTCAGATAAATGTATACCCTACTCTTGAGGATTGGCAACCATCAGAAGTTCTACAGCTCATCTGGAAAATTAGTGTAAAATGGGCATTCAAAGAAAGAAAAAGTTGTTTCATGTTTTGCTTTTGTCAGTGCTGTGCATTAAACCCAGGACTTCATACCTTAACTGTAAGCGTAAGGTCTATGCTGGCTGGTTCGATGTCAATTTAACAGTATAGATCATTTTAGAAGGAAACCTCAACTAAGAAAATGGGCCCACCACACTGCTATGAACACTATTGTAGTTCATTTTCTTGATTGATGTGGAAGGGCCGAACTCATTGTGAGCAGTGCCACTCCTGAAGTCCTAGATGGTGTAAGAAAATTGGCTGAGCAAGCCAGCAAACAGTGTTCTCCACGGCCTCTACATCAATTCCTGCTTCCAAGTTCCTGCTCTGATTTCCCCCAGAAGAACTGTTACCTGAAGCATAAGGTGAAATAAATCCTTTTCTCCCCAAGTGGCTTTTAATCATGCTGCTTATCACAATAGAAACCCAAGAACAATTATCTATCAGTGAACTCTAGTTCTAGCTTGAAAGGGGTATTTTCATTTTATGGTACCCACTGAGAAAACCACCATCTTGGGCACTTTTACACTGTTTGGAAATATACCCTACTTCCTGAACTCGTGCCAACCAACAGGAAAACCTGCCTGGTCTGGTCATTATATGAGGGAATCTAGCTAAGATTCAGTTGTCAAGATACCCACTGGGCCTCCAGCAATTTCTTTGACGGAATGATCTTCGAGAGTCAGTGAAGGATCAAAAAGTAAGGGTGAAGGAGGGCACGGCATACCATCGCCCACCACATCCAAGTCCTGGAAAAGAAAGAGGAAAGCCTATCAGCAATACTTACAAAAATCACTGAGCTAAAATTGACATAATTTTCAGCAAAGTTCAAAGTAATTCTCAGGCTCCCTTTCCCCTTGCTTATTAGAATGCTAAACCAACCATACACGAGCCAACAATATTGAAAACTTTCTCTTAGCTGATAATAAAACATAAATCAACAAGCAGTTTCCTAGGAGAAATCACAGAAAGTAAAATAGTGACTAACATGAGTAGAGGAAGAGCAGGCTTAAAAGGGATACAATCTGTGTGAACCAATAGAAGAATCCAAGGAAAAGATACTAGTAATGACATAACAATACATGAGTATCAATACCACTGAACTGTAAACTAGAAAGTGATTTATTATATGTTTTATTATAATAAACACCAACAAAACAAAACAACCCCCCCCCAGACAAGCAGATGGCTCAATGAGCAGAGGCACTTGCTAAGTGTGATAAACTGTGTTTGAACCCCAGAATCCACATGAAGAGAAAACAGACTCCTACAACGTTCTGATGTACTGTACAAACACAGAGATGTTAGAGAATACTTTTAAGAAAAATAAAAGGACTAAGAAGATGGCTCAATGAGTAAAGTCACTTGCCATCAAGCCTAATCGACTTGTACTTAGTCCCTAGCGCTACACAGTGGAAAGAAAGAACGGATTCAGCATGCATACCACAGCATGTAGACGTGTGTGTACTCACACGTGTGCATACCATTGAAAATAAATGTAATAAAAACCACATTCCCTCTGAGGCTAGTTACAGTCAGTCATCATCTAAGCTCCTCACTGAAGTATATGGAAAGAACAATCAGCGACTAGATAAAATAACATGAAATCTGCTGGAAAACATTCACAAAGCAAGCAACTAAGAGAAAAGGAAGATAGGAAAAGAGAAAGAAAGAACCACAGAAACTCAAACTTCTCTGAATCGCAAAGACATAGCATTTGGCTAATTCCCTACTCCTAGCATAAGCTTCAGGTAGAACTGAAGTCGGGGTCTCTCTCACAGCAGACAAATGATTCATCCTGAACTACATGTACTCCCAGTCCTCTCTTCTTCATTTCTACTTTGAGATGGGTCTTACTAAGATGACCAGGCTAGCCTTGAACTCACCCTGCAGCTCAGGCAAGACTTGAACTTATGACGCTTCTGCTTCACCTCACAGTAGCTGGGATTACGGGCCTGTGCCTGGCCCAGCTAAGCCTCTGAGTTTTAAACTTAACATAGTTCAAGTATTCTGTTTAAAAAAAAAAAAAAAAAAAAAGACATTATATTCTAGACTATACTTTTCCCACATGAATCAGCCATTCCCAGAGATAATGAGAATCAGCAGACCAAAGACATCGTTCTTGGCTCCTATCTGAAACCAACATTGATTTAGGGGTCCAGGTCACTATAATGGTTCAAGTACTATGGCAACCAAGTTCCATGACACTTGACAATGGCAATTAATGCTTTTAAGTTACATCTAAGAACTTGCAGGTCCCACATTAAAGAACAGGCAGGGGGAGGGAAAAGAAAAAGGGAAGTGACTATGAGCAAAGCATGTTACATGCATGTTTAAAGATATCACAAGGAAATCCACCATCTACACAACTGTTAGGTACTAATAAAAAAATCAGTTTTTATTATTAGTGTACTAACCACCAGGAATAAAAATCATAACCTCTTCATAATTAAGGTGAAGAAAATTGTCAAATTATCTACTCCCCTTAAAAGTCTAAAAGCTAATGCCAGACACAAAACTTTAATACCAGCAATCAGGAAGCAAAGGCAAGAGAATCTCTGTGCCTGGTCTACTTTCACTAAAATAAATAAACAAAAAGTCAAACATAATTCAACTGGGGGCCGGAGAAATAACTCAGCAGTAAGAGCATATGCTGTGCTTCCAGAAAATCCAGGTTCAATACCTAGTACCACATGGAACTCCACACAGAACTGTAACTCAAGATCCAGATCTGACACATCTTTTGACCTCTTAGGGCACCAGGCATGAATATGGTGCACATACATGCAGGCAAAACACCCATATAAATAAAACAAAGATAAATCCTAAAATAGATAGATAGATAGATAGATAGATAGATAGATAGATACATAGATAGATACATAGATAGATACATAGATAGATAGATTGAAAGTTTAAGGGCCACGCTTGGGTGTGGTGTGCATACCTTTAATACCTGAACTCTGGAGGTAGGTAGGGGCAGGTAGATCTCTGAGAGAATTCAAGACCAGCCTGGGATATATAATGTATTCTTTTAAAATATCTTAAAAGACAGCAGCAATTTAAACACACTGCTCAGTGTAAGGAGAAACACAGAGAAACAGTCACGGTTACTAGTATCCATTACAGATGTACTGGAAATACCTATGCCATCCACAGAAAGCAATGTTCTCACACCACTGAGACTGTGGACACTGTTTCCTGCAATCTTTTTTAAAAGCTCGGGACCACTGTTCACAGCTCTTTCCACCCACTGGTACACAACATACACAAAGTCTTTTTGTGAGAACAATGTCCTGCAAATGTCATAGACTGGTCAAGAGATTCTTGTGTACCGGGCAACCAGAAAACCTCTGTGAGAACGGACAGGAAAAGCAGACAAGTCCAAGCAGGAAGCCTGCTCTGGGCTCTACTCCATAACTGGAGTCTCCCAGGCCCTCCCTCAGGAAAGGAGGTCTGTACTTGAAAAGTTTCCTCATCGCTAACTACTTTAACTCACTAGAAACAGAGAGGATTAGACATATTTTGAGTCTCTAGATCACAATAGGAAAAGAAAAAAAAATGTTAAGATTTATTTATAATATGGACAAGCACTCCAAAGGGTTTCGTTTCTTGAGAATCATAAGGAGGTGTTTAAATTTCCCGATTTATATATAGCTAAGAGGTTCACAGACTGCACCTTAAACTACCCAGCTCTGAGAGCAGAACGGGATCGACATCATCTCTCTCGAAACCATAGAGGGCAATGTAGTTTTCTACAAAACAAAAGCCTTCCCAGGAACTTCAGCCCCTGGAAGAGGTGACTCATAGGTTTTAAAAACTCAAGGTCTTCTCTCTTGGTAGAGTTTTACTTCACACATCAATTGCCCCATCAAATATCTCCCGAGAGATTTCATTCTAAATCCCTCAGCTCTGTGAATATAAGAAACCATGCAGGCTCAGAGGTTAGGATCATTTTTATTACTCTTGCAGAGGACCCAGGTTCGATTACCAGCATCCACATGGTGGCTCACAACCTGATTTAACTTCAGTCCCAGGAGAATATAACCTCTTCAGGTTTCTGATGCCAGGCATTCATAGGATGCACATACATACATGCAGGCAAAACACACACATAAAATAAGTATTTTTTAAAAAGAAAAAAAAAATCAAACGCCAGTCTTCTTGGTCATGGTACAAAGCTGGGCTTAAAGTAGCAAGCAAAAATGATAGAAATATTCAGATCCCGTTCAGAACAGCATCAAAAATTAAATTAGAATTTAAAGAAGTGAAGTCCATACATTGATTAAATTTTGGAATAAAACGTCAATTGAAAATAAACCTTGGCTCGGCAGTGATGGCACACCTCTTTAATCCCAGCACTTGGGAGGCAGAGGCATGCGGGTCTCAATGAGTTTGAAGCCAGGCTAGCCTACAAAGCGAGTTCCAGGACAGCCAAGACAGCCAGAGCTCACAGAGTTTCATCTGTCTCTGCCTTAGTGCACGTGATCACTGCCACTGAGCAGCTCTCGAGCCCCTTGGTTTGTTTGAGGTCTCACTATATGACACAGGCTGGCCTCAACCTCAGAAATCTGTGTGCCTCTGCTTCAAAACTATAAGGTGAGACCTTATCTCAAAAACAAGCAAATAAACAAAACAAAAAAACCCAAAAAACAAAAAATAAAAAAAAGGAAAGGGGGGGATAAAAAGCTAAATACAAAAATACAGACATGCAGGTCACTGGTGGCACACGTATTTAATCCCAGTACTTGGAAGGCAGGAGGATCTGAGTTCAAGGTCAGTTTGAAATGAGTTCCAGGACAGCCAGGAAGAGCTACATAGAGAAATTCTGTCTCAGAAAACCAAGAGGGGTGCCTTGTGGTGGTGGCACACACCTTTAATCCCAGCACTCAGGAGGCAGAGGCAGGTGGATCTCTGTGAGTTTGAGGGCAGCCTGGGTTACAGACTGAGTTCCAGACAGATAGGCTCCAAAGCTGCACAGAGAAACCCATGTTAAAAAAAAAAAAAAAAAAAAAAGAAGTGATGTGAGGTTCCCCTCTAAATAGGGGTTAAAAAAAAAAAAAAGCAAAAAACTCACTGAACTCACTGACTTATAGGGAATGTCCAGAGTTGGCAAATGTATCAACAAAAAATAATACCCAGGAGTCAGATGTGATGTCCTCACCTTGAAGGTACCACTTGAAGGTAGTTCAAGGTCAGTGTAAGACAATACCTCAATTGAAAAAATACTGTTGGCAGGCACTTCCAGGAGTAAGGGCTCAGGAAGAAAAGTGAGGTATGGCACCACTAAGGAAGAAGAAGACAGTAGAATCTCTCTGAGTTTGAGGCCAGCCCGGTCTACAAAGCGACAGTCAAAGCTACACAGAGAATCCCTGTCTTGAAAAGCAAAACAAAACAAAAACTGAGTATTAAAGAGCATTGTATTTCTTTTTGAGGTGGTAAAAACATCCTCAGATAGTGACAATAGCTGTCTGCATATAAATACCTTTAAAATAATAATAATAATAATAATAATAAATCATCTCTGAACCCTTCTTCCAATCACATCCCAAAGTAATAAAGAAGGCCAGGCCTGGGAGGCCTATGCCTCTAATGCCAACACATATGAGACAGACATAAAAAATCATGAGTTCGGGTTCAACTCAGGATACACAGCGAAGCCCTGTCTCACAAGAAAAGTCTGGGGAGGAGAAAAGGTAGGATAGAAAGTATCTAATAAAGTAACAAACATATTCAACAACATCTGTATCATGTGAAAAGCTTTATCCAGCCTCTTGGCTGAAAACCACTAACTATTCTCACCACTAATAAACAGGGCCTTCTTTCAAGGACCAATCACATTAGAGCTTCTCTAACTTACATCACTGAACTCCAGTGGTAAACTCTCAGTAGGCTGAAGCTCGGCAGCACTCAAGTACAGATCCATGGGGCCGGCTTCCAGATCGTCTGGCACAGACAGTACCTGCTCGGGCTTATACATCTGAGGAGGCAACTGGAAATGCAGTGGACAGCAGGGATCCTCAGAGAGGCTTACAGGAACTGGTTTGTTGCAGGGCACCTCTTCAGATCCCTGGCAGCATTTGAAGAGAACCTGATTTGTATCCTGGCAAATATCTGCAGAAACAGTTAAGAAAATAGACCCAACCAATCGGAGGCGCACAGTACAGGAGCATGCACTAGGCCAAACACACACATATACATCCCACTACTCAGAGAACGACTATGCTTTTATAGAAACCCAAATGCAACGAGTAATTTTTAGTTCTTCAAATTAGTGTCATTTTGCAGCACATAATTTTAGCCCTACCAATAATTTATAACTCATCTTCAGTCTCTTTTCCAGGATTCTGGGCAGTTATATGAGAGACACCAAGCCCCTATGGCAGTGCTAAGAGGCAACAACACGCCAAGGGACATACACTGACAGAGAAAACCCATATTGTAACAAAGAAAAACAGAACGTTGTTCCTAATAGCATGATACATTCACTTGAACCCAAAGAATTCACTGTGTACCTCCTCATCTTCCCACTATTACCTCGGAAGTGCTGGGGTTACAGGCATGAGCCACTATGACTGATTCATAAAAGAAAAAAAACTTTTAAGGTAAATTTTTTGAAAAGTTGTATATTTATTGACACAGGATCTGTTAAAAAGCCCTGGCACTCACTAGACCAGTGTGGCCTCAAACTCTGCTAGCCTCTGCCTCCTGAGTGCTGGGATTATAGGCATGCACCATGGTAACCAGCTAAAAGGTTCTGTTTTGTTGTTTGTTTTAATTAGCTTACAAAGCAACAGGTTTCCTTAAATATTTTCACAGTCCGTTTCAGTTGATTCCCGTCCCCCATCCTCCTCATCCACCATTCTCTCCCCACTTTACTCCCTCGTGTGTTCTACAGGTTCTAATCGCCTCCTTTAAAGGCCCTTAAACCAGCACCCCACACATCACGGGCACTTTGCAGTTTCCTGGCCTTCAAGAAGACTTGAAACAAGACTAAGAGAAGGTTCTATTCTCCATTTTCTCTCTCTCTCCAGACAGGTCACAAGTTTCACAGCCCACCAGCAAATGTAGTTCTACACCAAAAAGCACATTGTATAACAGTTTATATCTACAAATTAGAAAGAATGGGGGGAAATAATCCATTTTTTTAAGTTTCTAATTTGAGTAATTTAAAAACACACAAGAGGAGCTGGAGAGATGGTCAGAGGTTAAGAGACTGGCTGCTCTTCCAAAAGTCCTGAGTTCCCAGCAACCACATAGTGGCTCACAACCATGTGTAATGAGATCTGGTGCCCTCTTCTGGCCTGCAGGCATATATGCAGACAGACAGTGTATACATAATAAATAAATAAGTAAATAAATACAATCTTTAAAAACCTACATTAGGGCACTAACCACACAAAGGGACATTACTGCACAGAAGTTCACAATACAGAACAATGCTCTGGGCAGAAAACCCACAGCAATCTTTTTTCTGGGTAACAGATTTAACACATATATAACTTAAAAGAACAAAAGCTAAATCAATAATGTAGGAGTACAGAAAAATCTTGGAATGTCATTAAGACTAGCAGCTACCCACATCTGTCACCAAGGACTCAGTCCTTTCTTCAGCTCCCCTCTCCCCCACTTCACCTACCCCAGTCAGGATTTTGCTGTGACCCAGGGTGGCTGCAAATTTCAAATCCTCTGGCCTAGCTGGCCTTTGTAGCTAGCCAAGCGCTACAATTATAGAGCTGGGTATCATATCCAGTCAGATGTTTCTTTCTAATGAATTGACCATAACATTTTAAAATTTCTGAAATGGCCAACAGACCATAGAAAGACATTTATTTAGGCACCTGCTTGAAACCAACAGCTTCAGCAAACTGATGGCCTTGATTCAGGGCCAAAGTAAACAAAATCTTCAAGTAAACCAGCGCATCTTTACTAGATCAGAACCTAAACAGGCAGTTTAAAAGATACGGGTAAGGCAGTGTCTGGTCATGGGAAGAGACTGATTCGAGCAACGAACATCATCCACAAAGGCTAAGCACCTCTGACTGGAACGAGTGGTATGAGCCTAAAATTGAGAGAAGAAACACAAATAAACCTACAGAAGAAGCATAAAACTATAACATTATTCAGTTATAAAAGCAAAGTCAATTCATAAGGAAAAAAATTAAACGTTTAACAAACCTGTTCACCAATATTTTGTTGTGGTGGTTTTTGTTTTGTTTTGTTTTTGGTTTTTCAAGACAGGTTTCTCTGTAGCTCTGGCTGTCCTGGAACTCACTCTGCAGACCAGGCTGGCCTCAAACTTTGCCTCCCCCTACCTCCTGAGCGCTGGGATTAAAGGTGCCCGTCACCACAGCCTGACTTGGACATAGTATTCTCATGATGATTCTATCAATAAAGAGAATGTGCACACCCCGAGATATATAAGCCAATTACCTGTTGAGCAGCCCCATCTGTGGCCAGCATTCTGCGTTCCTTCAGCTGCCTATGTAGTAAGGCTTCTACTCCATAGCGTTGACGATATCGCCTAAGACATTTTAGTCGCTTTAAATTCTCTCTTTCTTTGGCTAAAAGTCCCTCTGGGCCAGTCAGGAGACTACTACCTAGAGAACCACAGAAATCAAAATTTTCAAACAGGATGTCAATCTATCTGGTCTTGAACTCACAGCAAACTCCCTACCCTGCTTCTCAAGTACTGGGATACTTACTACACACTCATCACTAAAACAAGTCAAGGTGTAACTTGTAACCAAGGATCCATTTCCAAATTTAAGCAAACAAGGACTCACTATCGACAGGCAGATTCAACTACATCAAACTTGCCTAAAGCTTCATGTTCCACTTTTCGGTTGTGTAAGTAACGGCGCTTCTTCTCTTTGAGTAGGTGTTGTAGCCGTTTAAACTGATCAATGTACAAAGACTGCAAACGAATTAGCTTTTCTCTCATAATAAGAGCCACTTCTTCAGCTGTGTAGACACCAGCATGTCTGGAATAAAACAATAAATTCAACAAAACATTAAAGAAGCAGCAATAATAATGACAAGCATGGCGATGCCCGCCTATAATCCCAGCACTTAGGTGGAGACACAAGAATCAGTTCAAAGTCTACCTTGACTACAAATTCAAGGTCAACCTAGATATGAATTCCTATCTCAAAACAAAACAGCAAAAGTCTAAAAATATACTCAATTTGTATTTGTTTTTGATAAAGGCAATGCTAACTGACACATCTTAGTAAATAGGAATTTATTTATGCATGTATAAGGGAAGCCCTTAGTTCCATCTTCAGCACTAAGAACAAACAAACCAACAAAAGTCCCAACAATCCAGTGTCCTCCCCCATGTGCATCTGGGACCTGCACATGAGTGCTAATGAAGCTGTCAGGTACCCAGGGGCTGAAGTCAGAGTGACTCTGAGTGTCCCACATGGGTGCTGGGACCTGAACAGATTTTTTTTTCCAATTTATTAGATTTTTTAAAAAATACCAATCCAAGTTCCCACTTCCACCCCTCCTCCCAGCCCCTCTCCATCCTCATTGCCTTGTGGAAGGTCCAAGGCCCTCCCTACAACATCTAGGCTGAGCAAGGTATACATCCGAAGAGAACAGATTCCCCAAAAGCCAGTACATGCAGTAGGGATAAATCCTGGTGCCCCTCAGTCTGCCCCAGCCATGCAACTGTCAACTACATTCAGAGGAACTAGTTTCGTCCTATGCTTGTTCCTTCCTAGTCCGGCTGGAGTTGGT